GGCTCTGTTTTTTGAGAGAGACTCTATTTAGCAGCAGCCATCTTCAGGTATCATGGACATGAGACCTCATAAAGAGACAAAGAGGAAAGAAATTACAAATGCTTCATTTAATAGGTAAGTCTAGATAATGGCTTTGTGTTTTATCATACATGCAAATTTCCACAGGTTTAATTATATTCAAATAAATACATTTTTTAAATGGACCATGATAGTCTTCCTGCACTTTAAAAAGTTAAGATTTCTGACTTGAATATTTTCGTGGCTGCCACCACCACTATACCCAGACCCTGGAACTGTGCAATGCCAACTGTAAACAATTTTCTAATTCTGTACTAGGCAAGAAATCTGTGGTCTTCTGCACATTGGACCTTGTTAACATTCCAAACACAGGATTTTACAAATTACTGGAGATCACACTCAACCCTAAAAAAATAATAAAATATTTTTAAATTAAACATTATATAAACAAAAATAAAACACTTCAAGATATATATGACATCTTGAATTTCTTTCAAGTCCACCAGTTCATTGGTCTTCTGAGGTTTTGTGGAGTGGATGAGTTTGTCAGCACTTCCTCTGCTCTGCTGGTCACTTCCCACACCCTCCAGAAATGTGTTGACATTTTTTGTCATATCCTCTCCCTATTTGTCATTCCCAAATAATTTTTGAATCCTTCACCTGTTTTAACAACTAAATTGAAATACAGTTCACATGCCATACAATTCACCTATATAAAGTGTCTAGTTTTACAATTTTAGTAAATTTAAAAACAGCTTCATGACTTAATAAAGAAACTTTATCTTTAGAGATCATCCCTCTCCTTCCCTTCCCACCCCCAGGCCTAAGCAACCACTAATCTACTTTCTGTTTCCCTAGTTTCTCCTGTGTGGATATTTTACATGAAAGGATCATATGTGATCAATTGCGACTGGCTTTACCCACCAACCATAATGTTTTTAAGGTTACAACCCATGTTGTAATATGAATGCTTTTTATTGCCAATACATGTTACATCGTATGGATATTTATGCATCTTTTTCCCAATTCATCAGTTAATAGAAATTTGAGTTGTTTTCTTCTTTTATTATTATGAATACTACTACTAAGAACATTGGTTTACCAGGTTTGGTGGGGATAGGTATTTTCATTTCTCAAGAATGCACACTAGAGGTGCAAATGCTAAGTCATATGATAACTCTATGTGTAACATTTTGAAGAAGTGCCACACTATTTTCCAAAAAGGCTCCCACCAGCAATGTATGGGAATTCTACTTCCTCCACAGTCTCACAGTCTCAGTGAGAATTACCTGAAAGTTTTTATCTTACCTTATTTTTTGTTGTGTGTATGTGTGTGTGTTTGTTTCTCTTAATCCTCACCTGAGGATATATTTTTATTTAATTTTAGAGAGAAAGGAATGAAGAGAGAGAAACAATGGCATGAGAGAAAAATATCACTCAGTTGCCTCCTGAATACACCCTGTCCAGGGATTTAACCCACAATCTAGGTATGTGCTCTGTCTGACCAGGAATCAAACCCACAACCTTTTTGATGTGTGGGAAGATGCTCCAACCAATTGAGTCACTGATCCAGGACTCTTAGTGTTTTTAGTTAGCATTTTCCTAAAGGTTAATGAAGTTGAGCATCTTTTCATCGAATCTTTTCATTTTAGTGGCATTTGGGGAAGAAAAAAGATAAGGGTATCTGATCTACTGTGTTTAAATTATTTTAATATCTGACTGGAAAATCTTTTTCTAAATATTTGAAAACACATATAGAGATACCATTTCTATAGTTTTGTGCTTCTCTATAGTTAGCATGTTAGTGTCATCACTGCGTGATAGGAGCAGTAATATTGTGCACGGGATTTGCTCTGTAATATTACTTCTTGCATGGAGTTGAGAGAACTCACTCAAATGACTCCTCAGGATTGATTAATAGGTAAAGCAGAACTGATTCCCAAAGCATTTCAAACTCAATGTTTTTTTCCTCACCAATGCTGTTTACATCTGCGGTGCATAAGTGTGTTCCACATGTGATAAATATCAATTAAATATAAAAGCTTTGACATAGGCACATAAGTCTGTGAGAAGGATGGTTAAATGTTCTGATGGACTTTTTCACTGTACTGTATTGTAAAAATGGTATTTATTACACATAACAAATGATAATTTTTGAGGGTACATGGGAAGATATATTGTTGTATCTGTTGTTGTGTATGTTTAAATATATATTTGTTAAGCTTGAAAAAATTAAAGATGTTAGCTGCCTTATATGGAGAGGGAGGAGCAAGACCTGGCAGGGGTGCTATAGTCCAAGAAGACAGGAATATTAGCTCTCTCTCAAAGTGATTTCAGAAAGTGTCATTCCTTTGAGGTTGGGAAGGAAGCCTTTTTCCGTGTAATAGGAAGGAAAAATGACAGGAGGAATGTGAAAAGTGATATTTTTAAAGTGTTTTATTGAAAAGTTCCCATCTCATGTCTTCTCACTCCTCTCTGAATACTGGTCCAGCACATCAGTTGAGCCAGTGGAGATGATCTCAGCTTGAGGAAAGTGAGAGATTTGAAATAGATTTGAGTAGCTTTGGAGAGAGAACAGACTAAGTAGTCAGGGACCTAAGCTTCATTTGTTTTGTTCACATGTTAGTAAACAAGAGATAATTATATGTGGAATGAATTATATGTGGAATGATTTCCAGGTAATTCTAGGGGCACCAGTAGAATCAATTGTGTGATTTAATCCAAAAATGATCAGTTATATATAGGAAGACATTTCCGGAAAAACAGAGTTGAAATTTTGCCAGACAGGAAGGATTAAAGGGGACTGAAAGGGACCCATTTGCAGTGGAGTATTTAAAAGTTGGTTACCTGCCAAAACTGGTTTGGCTCAGTGGTAGAGCGTCAGCCTGCGGACTGAAGGGTCCCGGGTTCAATTCCGGTCAAGGGCATGTGCATTGGTTGCAGGCACATCCCCAGTAGGGGGTGTGCAGGAGGCAGCTGGTTGATGTTTTTCTCTCATTGACTTTTCTAGCTCTCTATCCCTCTCTCCTCCTCTCTGTAAAAAATCAATAAAATATATTATAAAAAAAATAAAAAAATAAAAGTTGGTTACCTGATAGACCATCAAGTCTAACTTGGTAAGGGAGGGAAACAAGAGCTTCATGAATTGACTGGGAGTTAGTGAGAAAATAAATGACCTGGAGTTGAAAAATTATCAAGGGGCATATAAGTTAGAAGGATAAAAGATCAGAATGTAGTATTCCAGATGGCAGAGGTTTTCCTGGGAATGTGCTCTGTAGTGTAGAAGTAACTACTTCAGAGTTGAAGATCCTAAGATATAGGGACTGGGGCCTGGGTTATTGACTATATGGTCCTCTTGAATATTAAAGCCTTTACCGCAGGCTCACCCCTTCAGGTTCAATGCTTTAGGCTCCATTTTACCTTTTCATCCCTCCCAGGACTTTCACAAAATCTGCATTATTTTTTGACTTCAAGATTCAGACATTGTAGAGTTGATGGCATAACTGTAGACAAAATATACAAGTGTGGTAGAGAGAGAGATTGTGGTGGACATCTATTTTGTTTTTTGTTGTTGCTGTCTGTCTTTGACACACAGGACTCACCACGCTTACTGGGAAAGCTACCTTAAGTGCTGTCTAGGGCAGTCATTCCATTTTTATGTTTTAGTCTGAACAAGTGGGGTTGACTCTCCAGAGGACCCTTATATAATAGTATAAGTGTGTATATGTGTAGATTTGGCCAAAGAGAACATTCCATGGAAGTCCAAGGTGAGCCCCCAAACATCTGTAACCCTGGTGCATAGTCTAGAACTCACCTCTAGTACATGAGCTGCAGGTGTTCTGAGATTTATTGTAACTTTCCCAAACCCCTGAATATCAAAGGTGACATCTCCATCCTGATAGGTGAAATGTACTTGCTAAGAGAAAATTCATGCATATTCTCGTCAAGCATGATAGAAGGAAGGCACAAATTTCACCATCTGCAAAGACAGGGATGCCATGCCTGATTATATCCCTGAAAATATTATTTTAGTGCTCAAGGAATAGCCCAGGTCTTTTTGATGAGCCATTAATAGGCTGTGCAATCTTCTGATCAACCATGACTGGTGGAGCTTAGATCAGTTTGGAAGCAAGACAGGGTCACACAGTGGGGATGATGGGCATAATCTTTGTTCCACCAGCAATGTCACTCTTTCCCTCCTTTATTGGTTCTTACTTTCCCACTCAATCTAAGGTGTCTTTTCCTACTTTCAGCCTTGTTTTACCCTGGGAGGAAGGTGGCTACTTAGTTACCGGTCATCACAACTGAAGTTTTTGCTCATTAAAAAAAAAAGTCAACCTGGAAAAATATCCAGAGATGGAACAACTTTCCAGTGTCAAGATTAAAAAATCCTTCCCACAAACATCAGCATGACCCATGAGATAGATCTTGAAGCAGATCTGTGCTGTTCCGAGACCCTTCCCCTACCAGCCCAAGATTTACTGCAGCCGTATTCCCCAAATGCTCCCATTCAGGGTTCACTAACTTGTTCTAAACAATGATTTAACCTCTGTCTCATCATTATTGATATTTTCTGAAAAATATACCTGCCTTCAATCTTCTTGGAATAAAGAAGGCCTGCATTCTGTAAAATTTGAAAAGAGCTTAAGTATTTCCTGATGGAAAAGGTGTGGGCTGCTCTGCATGTTCCTTAAGACTAACCTAAAAGGCAGGAGACAGAGCCCATCTCCACAAACTTCATCAAGGATGAAGTGGGCTTTGGCAAGGGTAACATGATATCTACAATATTTTTCCATAGAGCTCTATGGGCTGTTCACTTTAGAAGCTAAAGGAAGGAATCAGGAAGAGCTGAACTAACGCTTTCCTTTCCCTGAGCAAAAATCCTAAGACACTCCTGCCCCCAACACAATACATGGAGAAGACATTACTATTATTAGGGAAACATTTATTAGGGCAAATTAATATTCTTCACATGGCAGGAATTATATTGTTGTGGTAAAGTTTCTTCTCTTGAAAATATCCAGAATCATATTCTGTCTTACTCGTAGAGACGGATCTCTAAACACCGTGGATACAGCGGTGGTGAGAGCAGCCTGAGCCCACTGGGCAGCTGGAGGCCTGAAGGTTGGTCTTGGACGGGGCACACGCCCTCTGCAGGGCACAGATTGGAATTGCTTCTGATATATCTGGTTATTTAATGCCACAACTCTCCGGGGGTATCTGTCCTTGTTCCTGAAGACAGCTTGGGGGAAGGTATTGGTATTTGTCACTTTATTGGAGCCAGCACTGGAGTGAAAAGGATGCCCCTGGACAGGCTCTGCCTGGGCCCACACTGGTACCTTCTGCGGAGCTTTTGCAAACTTCACTGCAGAGGGAGTGGGCTCCTGAGGGCAGGTTATATCTACTGGATGCCGACGCCCAAATTTCTCCTCTAGAAAACTCCCAATGTCTGCTCTACTTTTAATTGGGCCTCGGTTCTGTGTAGATGATACGGTGTTGCCCTTTTCCTGAGAGTATTTTTGCTGTTTGTACATTTTCCAAAGATAAAGCTTTTGAAAAAAACGGTTCATTTGTTTTCTGAACAGGCTTTCCGGAGGAGGTTGTGCCTTCTGTGATAGGGTCTGGGGAGACTTGGTCCCAAGCCTCTCCTTTAATGGCAAGTCCTGAGTAGGAAATCTCTTCCTTCCTGGTTGGGATGTTCTCAACCCTGCATTCCCTCTAGCAAGATCCTCTGGTTTGAACCCTGTGGGCCTCTCTTTCTTTGCAGCAGTTAGGAAATTCTTATCCTGGCATAATCTTAAGATATTCTTAGGGTTGTGAGCTTCCTGTGGCTGCTTTATACTGGCTCTTGTGTTCGCCAAATGGACATGCAGCTCCCGGTGAGTTGCCCTGTCCACACTGGAGACACTCTGATCATGAGTCAGGGAGGCTGGGTAAGTCAATCTGTCTGAGGCATGAGACACATTATTACACTGGCCTTGGGCCTGACTCTGCTTCTTCTTCTCTATCTTTGACTTTAACTCAGAAATTAGTTGGTTCTGAAGGTCTGCTGAGTTAGGATTTTGCAGAACTGATGTTTCTGCTGGAAGGTTTTTAGTTTTCACAATCATTATTCCTTTATTCTCACTCACAGTTAGCCTTTGGGGGATTTCCAGCTTGCTGGTTGTTAAAATGTCACTCATTTTGGATTGAAGAGCATTAAGCTCCTCAGCCCTGGGCACATTGGGCATGGAGACAATTTCTGATTTCATCTCCTCTTCAACCTTTCTGGAATTTGCACTCTGATCTTTTAGCTCATGTTCAGCCCAGGATTGTCTTATGAGCAGCTTTAAGGGGAGAACTTTGGCTCTTGGAGAATGTTCCTGACTTGCTTTGCCAATGATGGTGTTTGCCACAGGCAGAGGAGTAGGTCCAGCATCCAGAATTCTCACCCCATGGGAGATTTCAGAGGGCACTTGTCTCAGGATCCTCTGTCCTTCATTGCCCACAAGTGAGGTAGCAGAGCTACCTCGAAGGGGCCTGAAGCCCCCTGATTTGGAGACCACATCAGCTATCAAGTTGGTTGAGGAGGATTTGGAATCATACTGGGAATAGGAGGAAGCATCTTTCAATCTAAATATTTCAATCGATTCAAGGACTTTGGGGGGAAGGCCACATATCATCCTCAAATGAAACTTGGTAATGTGGGCTTCCAGAATCTCCTGGGAACCAGCCTTAAGGAAGTAAAGCTTCTGGCATGTGTTCAGGCTATATTCCCTAACTACTGCTGGTGCCAAACTTTTCTGTTTTATTTCTGCAAGTGAATTCGCAGAAAGTGCCTCTTGGATAGCATGCCATGGACTAAGCATACTTGCAGGGAGCTGACGCTCACTGATTTCCTTTGACTTCTTCCTCAAATGTATTTTCCGGGCATTTTCTTGTTCTCTCCGCATCACATTCTGGCCTGGCATCATGGGATTTGCTCCTGTCAGACTCATTGTGTAGGAGTTTAAGTCTTTGTCAGAGTCATACCCCACATCCTGAACTTGATAGAAATCACGTGTCAAGGTGGACTGCAACGGATCTCTGGCACGAGCTTTCTGAGAAGGGAAGTGTGAAATCGACAGGCTTGGATGGTCAGAGCCTTGAGGGGCATAAGTGGTCAATGCTCCAGTGCTGTCTAGAGATGAGTTCTCCAGAGCAGGCTTGGATGAGATGTGAATGGGTTTAGGTCGAGTCACAGTTAAACTGTAGTGTGGTTGTGGTGAAACAGATAAGGTGGGTTGGGCATGATGAAAAGTAACAGATTCTGTGGAATTAGCTTGAAAGGGATTGGTATCTTGGGTAATGGAGGAGTCAATGAAGATGGTAGTCAGAATCAGAGAGGCTTCTGATTGAACAGTAGCATCCATAGTCTTAGTACTGTGTGTGGTAAGTGAATGATGCACTGGAAAGTCAGATGTCAAGAGAGATAAATTGTCTGCTGGCAGAGAGCGAAGCTGTGATGAAGGTAATGGAAAGTGACTTAAGGGCGTCACTGGGTTAGGACAGATATTGGAGGGTGGTGGTGGTGGAAAAGGCTCAGGCAGGTCAGGTGATATTAAGTCTCTTGGAGGGACTGCTGAGAAGGCAGGGGACTGAGTGAATGATGGCTCAGTCACAGGAGCTGCAGAAGCCGAAGGGGACACAGAGAGAGTAGCATCTTCCAGGGCCAATGAGGACAGCAACTGATCCATCTCAGCAGTTGCATCATTACATACCTCACAGGAAGGATCTGGACATAAAAGTTGACGAAAGCGGGTGGAATCATGACGCTGGCCCGAGGGGCTGCAGGAGATAAGAGATACAAAGCTGCAGCTAAGACCAACAGAACAAAGAAAAGAGGACCTATTGACCTGGTGTGGTTTGGGTCACCTTAATTCTGCTTTCTTTTCACATTGCTCCACATTCATGACTTCACAATGCTCTCAATAGCACTCACCCCAAAGTCTCCTTCATGTACTAATTTCTATGGCAACCCCAATTCATGACTATAGAAAGCTGCGATGAAGCCCTGAAATTGCATAGAACATGCTAAAGAGGGATCAGGGAAGGGAGATAAAAGTTTCTCACCTTTTAAGGAAAGAAATAAGCATCTTTTTATCCTCTTCTTCCCTCTTGGAATATCTTCTACCTGGGAAGCCAGAAGAGTGTGTTATATGTGGTGAAGGTGTAGAATCCCAATAATTAAAGAGGAGTGCCTTTATGGGAAACCATTGGTATATTAGACATTGAAAGCCCCATGAGTTAATATATGAAGACAAATGATCAATTATTATATTAATAACACTCCCATGTGTGTTGTTACTTTTATAAAGTACTTACACATCCTATATATTGAAAGGATAATATGCAAATTGACCGAACAGTGCAACGACCAGTTACTATGACATGCACTGACCACCAGGGGGCTGACATTCAACATAGGAGCTTCCCCCCTGAGGTCAATGTGCTCCCACAAGGGAGCACTGCTCATGGGTGATGAATGCATTGGTGGTGGCAGGAGCCTCTTCCCCATCCACAGCTGTGCTAAGAATATCTGACTTCCCCGAGGGCTTCTGGTCTGCCAGCGGGTGCATGGTGGGCTGAGAGACCCCTCCTGACTGCACGAATTTCATGCACTTTAGTACATTATATTATTTATGCTCAAAACCACTCTGCAAAACAGAGAAGTCAGTGTTATGTCAAAGAGGAATCTGATAATTCTGAAGTTAAAATACTTTCACAGGGTCAGGAGTCAGAAGTTCTACTCTGGACACCTTCTGGGTAATACCCATTGCCCAGGGCCATCAATACTTCATACCCATGAACAGCAAAGCAGGGAATCTGAGAAGTGCCTCTGGTTCTGACAGAAAAGCCTTTCCTCTGAGGCCTCTATACTGAGAGGAACTGTGTTGAGCAACTGACCTCATAGAGATCACAAAACCGGTTCCTCATGGATAGGAGAGAAAGGGTCAGCCTTAGGGAGCTCACATGGAGGGGGCAGAACCTTACCTTTCTGTGTCCCACCTTTCCTCCTTCTCTTGGATATTCTGCCCTGATACTGATGCTGAGAATGAAGGTAAAGAATAGGAGGTTAGGACTCATTTCTGTCACTCCTCCCCCTAGAAACTCAGGCATTGATTATCCTGAATAATATAAATAATTAATTGAACTATGTGTGCCTTCTTTTTGTCAAATTGTAAATATTTAAAATGTTTTCAGGTTTTTTTTTCTTTAAAAACTCAATGTTTGTGTCCATGAGGTTCATGGTTGGCCCTCAGTCATTAGTCCTATGCTTAAGGAGGGCATAAAATCTCTGCTCCTTTAGGTAGGACCCTAGGACAGAACTCTGGCACCGGCCTATGCTGTCTCCCTGGTGCTCAGCACTTCTTTCCAGATAAAGCCCAACAGAGAGGAAAGCTTGGTTCAGTTATGCCTGACATGGGAATATGATCGTGATGAAGTGCAATGGAACTCTGATTTCTTCGCAGAGATCCCAAACTCAAAATAACACAATCCAGGGCAATGAAGGTACTGATTGGGGTTCTATTCAGGAATTCTCCACCATACCTAGATGGTCTGTGAGCTTCAGATGGTAACCTGAGTCCTCCCTGTACCCCTAGTCTTGCTTATTCTCTTCCCCTACAAGATTGATGTTCTGGTTCTTCCTCAGATATCCCACTTTAAATGTCTCTGACCCAACTTAACTCATTTATAAATGTGGAACTAGAAATGGAAATTAAAAAAAAATCTTTTGGGGGGCTTGTTCAGGGTTCCTTACCGTTTGTGTATGTTCATTTTTCCAGAAGATTTTGGTTAATAGAATTTTCACCAGGGAAGGGAAGAAGAGGAGGAGCAACCCCAACCCCAACACACAGAGGTAAGTTAGGGTGCGGTAACAACCTAAAGATTCTGAGCAGAAGCTCAGATAAAGCTCTGAGAGGCTATTCAGAAATAGGCTGAAAATCATTTTCTGAATGGCAATGCTGCCTGAGGCAACTGAGCTCTGAGTGTGCAGACTCTTGATTTTATAGCCAAGCCTGCATCACAGAGCACTGAGGAGTCACAAAGGGTTTTTGAGGGTGTTAAAGGGACACCTTCAAGAGGGTATGTACACAGATCCTCCCAAATCCAACATCCCAGAAGATTCTCCATCCATATTATGTCTCCAGGTCCCTCTGCCTTACTCTGCTATACTTATTTTTTTAATCTGCCTTTTAATATAGCATCAATGTACCTTAATATTCTGCTTATTCTATTTGTAATCCATATATTACTTGGGTCCCTCTTTATGTTTGGACATGCTGATGTTGGCCTCACTATGTACTTTACTAGAGTAATGTGCTGCTATTTAAGGAGACACATTTGAGATAAGTCATTAGTTTAGGATTCTCATAGGTTCTCATTTTCTATGGACAGTCCTCAGTGCTCTCTTACTCCCATCCTGGCCACTGTCTTTAAGATGAGCCACAGAGTAGAGACATTTCAATATACCAAAAAGGTTGTGCCAGGGCTGATCAAGAGCCCCTGAATGGCAGATGAACAGATTATTGTGACACAATTTCACTGTGGGGGTGAGGGCTAAGGGGCTTGCCCAACTGAAGAAGCCAGGCCGCTTTGATTGCCTGCCTCATTAAGCCTTTATTGGAATTTTTATCTTTAGATAAAGTCAGTAGGGTAAGTAATCTTGGAAGGACACATGTGTTTATATCTCCCTATAGGCAAGGGCACCCAGGGATTAAGTTTAAGGATTCTACTAAACACCCGGGGGTCTGTATATGACAGGCTTGTTAGGAAAGGTCAAGGAATAATTAGAGGTGCCACCTTTGACACTCCCCTAAGTCTTCCCTAAATTGGAATTCCCATAAACAGGGCAGGTGGCCTTCCACACACTTCCCTTTTCTCAGAATGTCCTCCTTACATCTTTCCAACCAAGTCTCTTGTGCTTCCCAACAAGGCAGAAGAACATATTCGGGAGAAAGTACTTTAAAACTGCATTTAGGAGAAACAAAGATGGCAGCATAGATAAACACCTAAGCTGCTGCTTCACACACCAATATCAAAACGACAACTAAAAGACAAAACGGACACCATCCAATACTATAGGAAAGCTGGCTGAGTGGAAATTCTACAATTAGAAGGAAAGAGAAAAGCACATTGATACTCAGAGGAGCTGCAAAAGACTGAGGTATGGAGACGTGGAGAGGATGGGTGACTGAGGGCACAGGTGGCTGAGGGCACATGTGGCTGAATGAGTGGCTGGCTTTCTAAAGCGGAAGGGAGAGGGAAGCTCCCAACTGCACTGAATTCCAGTTCCAGGAGCGTCTCTGGGAATCCAGACTCATTCGAGGGGAATCTGGAATGTCAGGAAAAGAGAGAGCACACTGAGACTCAAGAGAGCTGTGGAAGGCAGAAGTCCAGAGACGTGTGCACAAAGAGAGGACCAGTGGCTGAGGGCACACACAGCTGAGTGCGTGGCTGGCTTTCTAAAGCAGGAGAGAGACAAAGGCTCCCGACTTTGCTGAACTCCAGTTTGGGGCTAGTTTCCGGGAGCCCAGACTCATTCAGGGAAAAACTAGAATGTCTGGCAGTTGGGGAAACTCAAGGGTGGCTTTCTCTCAGATGTGCTTGCAGCGATTACTGAGGGACACTGAGACCCAGAGGCTTCATAGGGCAGGGTTGACAGGAAGCCAAGGCTGTCTGCTCTGCCTTGAGACTCCACCCTATCCAAGCTGAGCAGAGAGGCTTTTGCAATTTTGCAACACTTGTCTCAAAAGGGTTTCTCCAGCACAGAAGTTCTCCCAGCATAGACACAGCTGATCCTCACAACTATTTGGCCTGGAGGTCAATTCCTCCCAGTGATATCGATACCAACAACAATCAAGACTTACCTAGAGCAAGGCTGTGCACACAGTCCACAAAGGGGTGCACCAAAAGTGTCCACCTCAGGTAACTGGGGAGGCAGAGCCACTGGGCCCTATAAGACATGTACCACACAAAGATACTCTACCAACTCAGGGAAGCAACAAAAATGTGGAAACAAAGAAACAGGTCACAAATGAAAGAAATGGAGGAAAGCAAACAACTGGATATATAGTTCAAAACCAGTTATAAGTTTTTTCAAGAATTTCCTAGAAAAGGCTGATAAATTTAGCTGGACCCTCGAGGATATGAAAAAGGACCAAATAGAAATTAAACATGCACTGACTGAAATAAAAAATATTATACAGAGACCTAACAGCAGACTAGAGGACTACAAGAAACAAGTCAAAGATTTGAAATAAAAAGAAGCAAAAAACACCCAATCAGAAAAGCAAAAATATTCCAAAAATTAGAAGATAGTGTAAGGAGTGTCTGGGACAACCTCTAGCATACCAACATCAGAATTATGGAGGTGCCAGGAGAAGCGAGAACAAGATACTGAAAACCTATTTGAAGAAATAATGACTGAAAACTTCCCCCACCCGGTGAAAGAAATAGACTTACAAGTTCAGGAAGCATACAGAACCCCAAACTAAAGGAATCCAAAGAGGACCACACCAAGACACATCATAATTAGAATCACAAGAGCAAAAGACAAAGAGAGAATATTAAAAGAAGCAAGAGAAAAACAGTTAATTACCTACAAGGGAGCACCCATATGATCGTCAGCTGATTTCTCAACAGAAATTACGTAGGCCAACAAATACATATACATATCTATCAACAAGTGAATCTAAAAATCAAGTGAATAAAAAATCTGATGAACAGAATAAACTGGTGAATATAATAGTCATGGGCATAGAAAGGGAGTGGACTGACAATTCTTGAGAGGAAAGAGTTGTTGGGGGTGTGGAAAGAGACTGGACAAAAATTTTACACATATGGATGAGGACAGTGGGGAGGAGTTAAGGAAAGAGGGTGGGGTGGGAACCAGGTGGAGGAGAACTATAGGGGGAAAAGGGAACAATCTGAAAATAAAGATTTATTAAATTTAAAAAACTGCATTTAAAATAACCAAGATATTCACCATTCACACAACAAACTTTTATTGAATTCTACTATGTAGTATTTCTAGAAGAAATATTAACATTATAAGGCCTTGTCTCTGCCCTCAGTCAGGTCTTAGTGCAATAAGAGAGACCTGCCTACAACTTTAATGAAGTGATATAAATTAGGAAAAAAATAAGAATAAAACACAAAACAGAGATGAAGAAGTAATTAAATTTTGTGCAAGGATGGAGATGAGAGAGGGATGGAGGAAAACCTTAGAATTGGTACCAACACAGGTGGGCACTTTCTCATCCTCCTCATCATTGTCCTCTTCTTCCTATCTTAGACTCTTAGAGCAATTATTGGTTCACAGTAGACATAGCAGAAAGTGAAAAGTTGTTCACATGCTTATAAGTATGGAATAATTGTTTTTGGAATGAATAAATGATTTCCAATTAGTTCTGGGGCACCAGTAGAAATGACTGTAAGATTTAATCCAATAGTGATCAATGACTTATAGGAAGACGTTTCTGGAAAAACACAGAGCTTAAATTTTTTATAAAGAGGTTTCAAAAGGAGACTAGGTGGGCCACTTTTGTTGTTGCTATTTTTCCTTGACACTCAGGATTTACAAGGCTTACTGGGGGGAAAAAACTACCTCAAGTGCTGTATAGGACAGTCATTACATTTTTGTGTTTCATTCTGAACAAGTGGGGTTGGCTCCCCTATGGACCTTTATAGTACAGGTAGATATGTGCTCAGGTTTGGCAAGAGAGAGCATTTCATAGAAGTCCAGGATGAGACCTAGAACATCTGTGGTGCATAGTCTAGAACTCATCTCTGTTTCATGAGCTGCATGTGTTTTGTGGGAGATTTATTATAACACCCTTAAAACCATGACATCTCCATCCTATAGGTAAAATGTCTACACTAAAGCCAAGATCTTGCACATTTACATCAAGCATGGATGGAAGGAAGCACCAAGATCCCCAAAGACTGGGATGCCATATTTAATCACATCCCTGCAAATATTATTTTAGTGCTCAAGGAATAGCCCATGCCTTTTCGGTGTGAGGCATCATTAGACTGTGCAGTATTCTGGTCAGCCAAGGCAGGTCAGGCTTATGTCAGCTCAAGGAAGATTGGAGCGAGACAGGATCACACTGTGTGGATGATGGGAAATAACCTCTGTCCTACCAGCAAGATCACTCTTTCTCCCCTTCAGTCGTTCTTACCTTATTGCTTAGTCTAGATATTTTTAGATTTTTCCCCCCTGGGAGGTAGATATCTGCCTGGTTAACATTCATCCCAGTGGCAGTTGAGTAATGTTTTTGCTCAGAAAAAAAATTAAAATAAAAAAATCATAAATCCCACAGCCTATAGAAATATCCTGAGTTAAGAACCACTTCCCAAGATGACTTTTAAAATGGAGAATACTTTGGAGTCAAGGCTAAAATATGCTTCCCCAAATATTAACATGACCCAAGAGACAGATCTTTAACCAGATCTGTGCTGTTCCTATACCCTTCCCCAGTCAGGCCAGGACCTACTGCAGCCATATTCCACAAACACTCCCATTCAGGGTTCACCACCTGTGGGATCCTCTGTTCACTGACTTCTAAATAATAATTAACCCACTGTGTCTTCTTCACTGATAGTTTCTGAAAAATATACTTGTCCTTGATCTTCAGATACAGAGGCCTGTCTTATCTACTTTTGAGAGGATATAAAGTTTTCCCTGAGAGGGCGGGAAGGTGTGGGATGCTCTGCATGCTCATAAAGGCTAAGCTAAAAGGCAGGAGACAGAGTCTATCTCCTCAGCCCCGTCAGGAATGAAGTGAGCTTTGGCAGGGGGTGCATATCTATTTTTTAATAAGAGTTATAAGAGATGGTCACTTGATCAGCTAAAGGAAGCATTCAGGAACTAAACTAACTTCTCCTTCGTTTTTCCAAGCACAAGCCCTGAGATTCCCCAAACCCATGACCCCAACATAGTACACAGAGAAAACATTACTCTGAGAAATATTTATTGGGGCAAATCAATATTCTCCACATTAGCAGGAATTATTTTGTGGTAGAGAAGTCCTTCCCATACAAAAGATCCAGAATCATTTTTTAAATCATAGAGACGGACCTCTGAACACCTTGGCTACAGCAGTGGTGAGAGCAGCAAGAGGCCACTGGGCAGCTATAGGCCTGCAAGTGAGGCACTGTCCCTTTGGGGGCATAGATTGGGGTTGCTTCTGACATAATAGCTGCTCTTTTCATGCCACAGCTTTCTGGGGGTGTCTGTCCTTGTCTCTGAACACAGCTTCTTGGCCTTAGGACTTCGTATTTGTCACTTGACAGGAGAGAGCCCTGGAGTTGAAAGAATGCCCCTGGACAGGCTCTGCCTAGACACACACTGCTGCCTTCTGCTGTGTTTCCCCAACATCACTGCAGAAGGAAGGGGCTCTTGAGGTCAGGTGATATCTACTACTTGCCGAGGCCTCTGTTTCTCCTCTAGGAAATCCCCAATGTCTGCTCTACTTTTAACTGGGCCTCTGCTCTGCACAGATGATACTGGGCTGCTTTTTTCCTGGAAGTTTTATTGCTGTTTGCATTTCACAATATCTCGGGATGAAGCCATTGAAAGCAAGTGGTTTATTTTATTTCTGAACAGGCCTTCAGGAGGAGACTGTGCCTTCTGTGATGGGGCCTGAGCCTCTCCTTTAATGGCAGGTCCTGAGTAGGAAATATCTTCCTTCCAGGTTGGGATGTTCCCAAGCCTGCCTTCCCTCCACCAAGCTCTTCTGATGTGGAGCCTGTGGGCCTCACTTTCTTTGCAGCTGCTGGGAGATTTTTATCTTGATACAACCTTGAGACATTCTTAAGGACACAAGGCTCCTGCCACTGCTTCATACTGACTCCTCTGTTCACCAAATGGACATGCAGCACCTGGTGAGCTGCCCCATCCACACTAGAGACACCCTGAACATGAGTCAGGGAGGCTATCTAAATCAAGCTGTCTGAGGCCATTGGCCTTGGGCCTGGCTCTGCTTCCTCTTCTTAAATTTCCACTTTAACTCAGCACCTAATTGCTTCTGAGAGTTGCTGATTTAGAATCTTTAGAACTGATGTTTTTTGATGGGAGGCATTTAGTTGTGATAGTAATTACTCCTTTACTCTGACTCACATTTATCCTTTGGGAGTTTCCCTGATTGCTGGTTGTCAAGAGATAACTCATTTTGGGTTGAAGAGCATCAAGCTCTTCATCCTTGGACATGGAGATAGGTTGGGCATGGAGACAGGTTCTGATTTCTTCATCTCTTTGCCCTGACTGGAATTTACACTTTTCCGTTGGCTCATGTCAGACCCAGGATTGCCTTATGGGAAGCTTTGTGGGGAGAATGTTGGCTCTTGGAGGGTGTCTCTGACTTGCTTTGCCAGTGATGCTGTTTGTGAAAGGCAGAAGTGACTGTCCAGCATCCTGAATTTTCTGAACTTCCTCTGTCAGCCCATGGGGAATATCAGAGGCTGACCTTATCAGGGTCCCCTGTCCTTCCTTGCCCACAAATAAGGTGGCAGGGTGAGGATGATTCAGAGTTTCAGAGCTTCCTTGAAGGGACATGTAGCCCTATGACTTGGAGCCCACCTCATAAATCAGGTTGGCTGAGGAGGAAGATTTGGAATCATACATGGAATTGGAGAAAACAATTTTCAATTGAAAGATCTCTATGGATTCAAGGTCTTTGGTGAGAATCCCCCTCACCATCCTCAAACATAGTAATGTGGGCTTCCAGAATTTGCTGTGAATCAGACTCAAGTAAAGCTCCTGAAACATGTTCAGGGAGGATTCCCCACCCACTGATGGTGTTAAATTTTTCTGTTTTATTTCATGTGGGATTTCACATAAAGTGTCTGCCGGATAACAAGCCATGAAGTATGCCCAGTCACAGGGAGTTGAACCTCATTGATTTCCTCTGACTTCTTGCTCAAGTGTATTTTCTGGGCATTTTCTTGTTGTCTCTGACTTACACTCTGCCCTAATACCATTGAATTTTTCCAGAGACTCATTATGTAGCTGTTTAGATCTTTCTCAGAGTCATACTCCACATCCTGTACTTGATTAAAATTACATTGTGCCAAGATGGACAGCAGTGGGTCTTTGACAGGAGCTTTCTGAGAGGAAATGTGTGAAATCTACATGCTTGGATGGTCAGTGCCTTGAGGGGCATAAGTGGCCAATGCTCCAGTAATGTCTGAAGATGAGTTCTCCAGAGCAGGCTTGGATGAGATGTGAATGGGTTTAGGTTGAGTCACAGTTAAACTGTAGTGTGTTGCTGGTGAAACAGACAAGGTTTGTGGCATATGATGATAAGAGACGGATTCTGTGGAATTACCTTTCTGGGCCAAATCTGGGAAGGGGTTGATATCTTGGTTAATAAAGAAGTCAACAAAGATGATCTTCAGGGTCAGAGGCTTCTGGGTGAACAGCAGCACCCGTAGTCTTAGTACCAGGTGCTAGGGAAAAGGTTTATGATAAGAATGATGATGCACTGGAAATTCAGCTATCATGGGAGGTAAAATATCTGCTGGCAGAGTGTGAGCTGGCGATGATTTTAATGGGAAATGACCAAAGGAAGTCGCTGGTTTAGGGGAGAGAATGGAGGAGTGTGTTGGGAAATGCTCAGGCAGATGAGGTGATATTAGATCTCCTGGAGGGACTGCTGAGAAGGTGGGGAATGGATGAATGATGGCTCAATCACAGGAGATGCAGAAGCCAAAAGGGACACAGAGAGAGTAGCATCTTCCAGGGCCAATGAGGACAGCAGCTGATCCATCTTAGCAGTTGCATCATTACACACCTCACAGGTGGGGTCTGGACATAACAGCTGACGAAAGCGGATGGTATAATGATGATGGCCGAGGGGGCTGTAGGAGATAGGAGGTAGTCAGGACTAGAACAATAATAGAGGATCTAATGACCTGGTGTGGTTGGGGCCACCTGAATCCTGTTGCCCCTTCACATTGCCCCACATCCATGACTTCACAATGCACTCAATAGCAATTGCCCTAAAGCCTCCTTCATATACTAATCCTATGGCAACCCCAATCCATGACTATAGAAAGCTGCACTAAAATTGCGTAGAATATACTAAAGAGGGATCAGGGGAGGGGAATAAAAGTTTCTCACCTTTTAAGGAGAGAAATCAGCATCTTTTTATCCTCTTCTTCCCTCTGGGAGTATCTTCTATCTGGGAAGCCAGGAGTGTGTGTTATATGTGGTAAAGGTGTAGAATCCTAGCAATTATAGAGTCCCTATATGGGAGACCATTGGGATATTAGACTCTGAAAGCCCCATGAGTCAGTAATTGAGACCAAATATCAATGATAGTATTAATTTGATTCCCATATGTGTTGAGTATTAATTTGGTTCCCATATGTGTTGATTCATTTATAAAGTGCTTACACATATATTATCTGATGGCCAAAACCATTCTGTCACAGAGCAGGGCCTATGTCAAAAAGAAATCCGATAATTCTGAAGTTCCACTCTGGTTACCTACTGGGCAATACCCCATTGCCCAGGGCCATCAATACTTCATACCCATGAACAGCAAAGCAGGGAATCTGAGAAGTGCCTCAGGTTCTCACTGTCTTCCCATAAACCTCTCCTCTGAGGCCACTATACTGAGACGAACTGTGTCGAGTAACTGACTTCATAGAGATCATGAAACTGGTTCCTCATGGAAAGGAGAGAAAGGGTCAATCTTAGGGAGCTCACATAGACGGAGCAGAACCTTACCTGTCTGTGTCTCCCTCTTCCTCCTCCTCTTGGCTCTGTCCTGACACTGACACTGAGAATGAAAGCAAAGAATGGGAGGTTGGGACTCATTTCTGTCACTCCTCTCCCTAGAAACTCAGACATTTAATTATCCTGAATAATATAACTAATTAATTGAACTTTGTATTCCTTCTTTTTGTCAAATTTTCAATATGTAAAATGTTTTCAGTTTTATGTTTTTTAAAAACTCAAAGAATGTCCCTAACCAGTTTGGTTCAGAGGATAGAGCATTGGCCTTTGGACTAAAAGGTCCCATATTTGATTTCCAGGCAAGGGCATGTACCTTGGTTATGGGCACATCCCCAGAGTGGGTGTGCAGGAAGCAGCCGATTGGTATTTCTCTCTCATCGATGTTTTTAACTCTCCGTCTCCCTTCCTCTCTGTAAAAAATCAATAAAATATAAAAATAAAAAATCAATAACCTCAAAGAATGTTTGTATCCATGAGGTTCATGGTTGATCCTCAGTCATTAGTCCTGTGCTTAAGAAGGGCATAAAAACTCATCTCTGCTCCCTTAGATAGGACCCTGTGACCTGGGACAGATCTCCAGCTCCTGCCTCTGCGTAGAGGCTCCTAAGTGCTCAGCACTACTTTCCTGATCAGCCCAAGGAAGGGATGTTCCAGTGATGCCTGACATAGGAATATGACTCAAGAGAAGTGCGATGGAATTCTGAACTCCATCAGAGATTCCAAACGCAATTCAGGGCCATTCAGGCACTATTTTGAGTTCTATTTAGGAATTCTCCACCATACCCAGATGGTCTGTGAGCTTCAGAGGGTAGCCTAAGTCCTCCCTGAACCCCTAGCCCTGCCAGTTCTCTTCCCTTAGAAGATTGATGTTCTGTTCCTTGCTCAGACATCCCATCTTAGGTATCTCTCTGACCCAACTTAACTCATTTATAAATGTGGGACTAGAAATGGAAATAAAAAATCTCTTTTGGGGCTCATGAAGGGTTCCTTACCTTTTGTTTATATTCATTTTTCCAGAAGATTTTGGTTAATAGAATTTTCACCAGAAAAGGGAAGAAGAGGAGGAGCAACCCCAACACACAGAGGTAAGTTAGGGCCCAGTAACAATCTAAAGATTCTGAGCAGAAGCTCAGATAAAGCTCTGAGAGGCTATTCAGAAATAGGCTGAAAGTCATTTTCTGAATGGCAATGCTGCCTGAGGCAGCTGAGCTCTGAAGGTGCAGACTCTTGATTTATAGCCAGGCCTGCATCACAGAGCACTGAGGCGTCACAAAGGGTTTCTGAGTGTGGGGGAGGGTGCACCTTCCAGAAGGTAAGTTTAAGGACTCTCCCCAACCCACCAACCTAGAAGATCCCTCCACTCATCTGGGGCCTCTGGTCCCTCTGCCCTACCCTGCCATGCTATTTTCCAACCCACTTTGTATCATATATATTTACCTTAATGAATATTTAGCTTGTTCCATCTGTAACCTCATAATTACCTGATATTCTATTTAATGTTTGAAGGTTTTTACTTGGGTCACCAAATCCAGTACTTTGAATGTCTGAAATAGTGCTAGAATATTTGCTTGTACTCAGACATTTACACTCAGGAACATGTATGTCTTCAAATCTGTCTTTCCTATACAATATTTTTGCATTACCTGAACCTATGTACAGGACTTAAAGTTATTTTACATTTTTTTATTTTTGCAATGAAATACACAATTTTATTGTTTCAGTAAGTTATAAATCAATAATAAAATTTTAAAATGTGATCTCTCCCAGGAATACATCTCACATATTTTACATATTTCTAACCCCTAGATTTTGCAGTAAGCTCTCTCAGGGCATTTTAGCATGGAGGTGGACAAGCTGGTGGTTAGTAGAGTCAGATCACTATTCAACCCCAATTAGGGTACATCACCATACAGTCTAGTCCAGATTTCATACTGTACTTGGTTATATTTTCACCAAGGAGAAGTATTTTTCAGAACTTCTGCTAGAATACTATGCTTCTATTTGAGGAGGCACATCAGAGAAGTCATTAGTTTAGGATTCTCATAGGGTCTCAGTTTTCTAGGGAGGGTCCTCATTGCTCTCTCACTCCCATCCTGATCACTGTCCCTAGAATGAGCCACAGGCTGCAGACATTTCAGGGTACCAAAATGGCAGAAAAACACATTCTGGGGCAAAATACATTAAAACTTTAGTTAAAGCTAGCTGCATGGCACTCAACATTTGTACAACAAACTTTTATTGAATTCTATTATGTATATTTCTAGTAGAAAATATTAACAAAATAAGGCATTGTCTATGTACTCAGGCAGGTCTTGTGCATAAGAGAAACCTACAAACAACTCTGATGAAGTAATAATTATGAAAAAAGTAGGCATAAGAATTCAAAACATAGATAAAATAATTGGTTAAATGTTGTGCAAAGAGGCAGAGGAGAAAGGGATCAGGGAAAAAACTTCAGAGTTGGTGCCAACTGAGATAGGCATTATGAGGTCTCCTCCTTCCCATTCCTCTTCGTCCTCATCATTATCCTCCTCTCCATCCCTCTTTAGATTTTATTTTTAGATTTACAGTTTTAGGTTCACAGCAAATAAAGCAGAAAATACAAAGTTTTTGATTGCCCTCTAACATCACACCACACACACACAACATCTTCCTCACTATTAATATTCAGCACCAGATTGGGACATTTGTTAAACTGAATCTCCATAGATAAATCATTATCAGCTTGCATCCATAATTTAGATTATGGTTCACACTTGGTGTCATGTGTCATATATACTTTGGGTTTGGATCCGTGTATGATGCCATGTATTTACTATTGTAGTATTGTACAGAGTAGGGTCCTTGGTCTAAAAATTCTGTCTGCTCTGCCTGTATATCCCATTCTTTACCCTAACACCTGGAAACCACTGAACCTTTTACTATATCTTGAATTCTGCCATTTCCAGAATTTTATCTGGGGGGACTAATACAATCTGTAGCCTTTTCAGAATGACTTCTTTCACCTAATAATATGCGTTTAAGATCCCTCCATGTTTCTGAGCATAATGGTATGAAACTTTAAACCAATCACAAGAAATAAACTAACACACAAAGACATGAAAGCTAAATAACATGTTACTAAACAATAAATGACTTAGCAATGAGATCAAGGAAGAAATTTAAATATACCTTGAAAGAAATGAAAATGAGAACACAACAACCTCAAATCAATGGGACACAGCAAAGGCAGTCTTAAGAGGGAAAGTCATAGCATTATAGGCTTATCTCAAGAAACAAGAAAATTCTAAAATAAACAATCTAACTTTACACTTAAAAGAACTTGAAAAAGTGAGTAGTAGAAAGGAATAATGATGAGAGTAGGAATAAACAAAATAGAGTCTTAAAAAAAAAAACAGTATGAAAGTTCAATGAAACCAAAAGCTGTTTCTTTGAAAATATAAACAATACTGACCAACCTTTAATAAACTCAACAAAAAAAGAGAGAAAACCCAAATAAATAATATCAGAATTGAAAGAGGAGAAGTAACAACTGGCACATAAGCCTCACAAAGGTTTGTAAGGAATTATTATGAACAACTATATGCCAACAAATTAGACATTCATAGAAACAGACAATCTTCCAAAATTGAATCAGGAAGAATTAGAAAATAAGAATAGACAAATTGTATAACTAGTGAACCTAAAGCAGTAATTAAAAAAAACAAACAAACAAACAAAAAACACCACAAAACTCCCAACAAACAAAGTTTTGGACTGGATGGCTTCATAGGCGAACATCACCGTTCAAAAAAGAACTATCATATATCCTCAAACTATTTTTAAAAATTCAAGAAGAAGGAAGACTCCCAAGCTCATTTTATAAGGTAAGCATTATCCTAATTCTAAAACCAGATAAAGACACTACAATGAAAGAAATTATAGGCCAAAATCTCTGATGAACATAGATGCTAAAATTCTCAACAAAATATTAGCAAGCTGAATCCAGCAATACATTAAAAAGATCATACACCATGATGAAGTTTGACTTATTATGGGGGTGCAAGGTTAGTACAATATCTGAAAATCAATAAACATGATATACCACATAAACAACATGAAGGATGAAATAGTCCCTATTGGCCCTCTGTTTCTTTCTGGAGAAATAATCTCATATCGCCTCTCCTCCAAATGCCTTTCCCTTCTTCTTTGGATGCTCCAATCTCTTAATTTTATTAACTAAAAAATCTTTCAGGAGACTGTGCCTCCTGTGATAAGGTCTGGGGAGACTTGCTCCCAAACTTCTCCTCTAACATGTCTTGAGCCCACCTTAGAAATCAGGTTGTTTGAGGACAAAGAATTGGACTGAAACAAGGAATGTGATGAAATAACTTTCAATTTAAAGTTCCTATGATTCAAGGAAGGCCCCACACCATCCTCAAATAAAACTTGGTAACGTGGGCTTCCAGTATCTACTGTGCACTGGAATTAAGGAAGGAATGTGTTCAGGCAGTTTTTTCCACCTACTGATAGTGCCAAATTTCTCTGTTTTATTTTGATGTGGAATTGAATCCACAGAAAGTATATGCTGGATAACATGTCATAGACTATGTATGCACAGTTGCAGGTAGCTGACCCTCATTGATTTCCTCAGAATTCTTGCTCAAGTGTACTTTCAGGGCATTTTCTGGTTGTCTCTGACTTACATTCTGCCCTAACACCATTGAATTTGCTTCTCAGAGAGTCTTATCATGTATCTAGGCCTTTCTCAGAATCATATGCTACAACCTTTCTGAAGAGCTGTCTCATCACTCAACAGATGATATATTTTCAACTGAGCTGCCTTCTCATCCTTTTTCTTGTTGTCCTCTAGCTGAAGCATTTCTGAGTCCCTCTCATAGAAGCTTCTTTGTTTGCCTAATCCAACATTTAGATTTTTGCTACTCTAACCCTTATACACAGAAATTCATTAAAGGATATACTTTTTCTTTGACTCAGATATCTCTGAACAATTGCTCAGAAGCCTCTTCAGTGACAAAGACTCATGGATCCCTCAGAGCAGGCCCCACCAGTGTTGGATGAGCCTCTTTCAAAGGTGATGCTTTAGTTTCTCCCGAGGTTCACTGCTGAGAGGAAACTCTACAGTAAGGATGGAGATTGAAACATGGGCCTGGGAGCACCAGCAGTAAGGAGAGTTGGAAGCTGAAGGACAAAATTCTTCCTGAGATTTTTGGACCACACAGGGTAAACTCCACAAACTTTCCTGTTGTTTCTGCAGCACAGTCCATACCAGAAAAGGTGGAACAGTCTGATCCATTCAGGAATCTATAGAAATACACTCCACAGCTACTAATCTGGGATATAGGACTTCATGGTAGGATTGGGCATGGGCATTGAAGATGGACATGCGGGTTGGATCTGAGTGAGAGGTAGGGACTGGGTTTGGGGAAGGGTTTGAGGCAATAGTTATGGATGGACCTCAGGTAAGAATGCAGGTAGAGGGA